TTCCCTTTGCCTCCCTCGCTCTTTGTTTGACCTTTTGGGCTCACTGCTCATAAGAAGGGGAGCTTTGCTCCCTTTAGATGCTCACCCAGTGTAACTGTAACCTCAGCTGATTTTGGGTGAGGTAGACTTACTTCACTTCAGGAGTCCCCAGATTATCAACACCTTGCAGAAGGGTCACCGCTGTTAGTGTAGGAATGAGCTCGTGCATAGCAACAGCAGAAACTGGCCTGCAACCCCACCTCATCCTCCAGCAATTTTGGCACTGTCACAGCCTGCCTTAACACCTAACACCCTTAATGTTCATGCAGAAGAACAAATGCCTGACCTCAGCACCCCCAGCCAGGCTCCAAGCCCCACAAGGAACACATTCATCTTACGTTCAGAGTCTTCTCCTTTGAAGTAGCCAATGAGTTTGATTTCCTCATCGATTTGGTCAAAGGCCTGAAGCTCCAGCTTGCTGTTTATGATCTCCACAGGGTCTTCTAGCAGCTGCCATGACAAATGCAATTGATAACACAACGATTTGCAGCACCAACCTGTGCCTGTCAGGGTGTGTCACTAGTAGCCTGAGTGGGGAGAAAGAGGTCACCCAATTTCTCTGCTGCTGGAAACCTTACTTCGTGCTCTCTGCCTTAATGCGAGGAACTAAGAGATGCAGGTCACCTTCAGAGGGAGCCATTAGTAGGTTCACTGCACAGGTTGAAGCATCAAGAGGGAAGCTAAGAGAGGTCTGAGTAACCCAAATAGATGCTGAGGGATCTGCTGTGATGTGATATAAGCGGTAGCAATTGCAACTGGCTTTGGAGTGGCTGAGAAAAAGGTAGAGCAGTTGAAAGGGGCTGGTATGGAGACTGTGAGCGTCTGTGAATGATGCCTATATTTGTTTTTCACTGTAATTTGCTGGAAGAGGTTACTGCAAAGAACTTGCTTTCGGAAAACATTAAAACCAGCACGCTCAAGTGAAGCCAAACAATGTTTCGGAGCAGTGGAAAGTCTGGATGTGATTTTTCCTGGCTGATCCTCCTATGCAGAGTGGGTTAAACCCATGCTTTGGCCCCAGACACATCAGTGTTGATGAGGAAGTTGGAAGACCTATCTGCCGCTTCAGTCTGTCATTAGCCTAAACTTTGTTTCTGCTTTCTTAACTAGCCACTGCTGGTGAAAAGATTTGGTCTGATCGTTCTGCCCAGCAATACTGGGGTAAATCAGCTGTGGTTTCACTAGAAAAAAAAATGCAGGCAGGCAACTGTACAGTCTACAGAGTAGTAGAGGACCTCTGGGTTTGTTTTCCTTTGAGAGCAGGCTGCCGAGGCACCACAGATGTGTTTGTTTTTATTTCCCTGCTTTGCTGGGTATTTTCCCTCTTGAGTGGAAAACACACAAACAGAAATCCTTGCTCTCTTCCTTTGTTCACAGAACGTGATTTTTTTCAGCAGCGTACCACAGCAAACTAAACCTCACAAAGTGCCTCACGAGTGATGCTCCGGTGTGTGGCTGTGCCTCTGCTGCGTCCAGAGCAGTGTGGGCAGCTCCCTGCTGCCGTAGTGTCCTGAGCCACAAGAACCGGGCATCCCACCACTGCTGGGGTGACAGCAAAGCCCTGCCCTGCCTCTGGCCCTCCTGGGTGGGCAAGACGCCCGCTTCTGTCCCTGAAGCCACTTACATGTGTTTTGGCCACAGTACCTGATGCATGCAGCCACATTGCTGTAGGAGAGCTGAGGTCCTAAGGAGCTCTTCCCCAGACGTGCTTTTCGCTACTGGCACTCCTGCACCACAGGTCACCATTTAGGCAACCTGCCACCCTGGGAAATAAACCCTGCCGGCTCCACTGTTCGCCTTACCTCCCTTATCTGCATTATTGCATGGCTGCTCATAAAGGGAGCCTCATTTCAAAGGAAAGCCAAGCGACTGCAAAATGTTTTCACTACAAAGCAAAGACCATGTTTCTAGGCCATCGCAATAAAATGCAAAGAAAAGTGTAGCACGTTGATGAGGGAGTCAGTGTCTCATTTGCATTTAGGTGCAAGGGTGAGTATATTTGTGTGCCCGTGCACAAAATGACCTGAGAGCACGAAGTCCTAGGCTCTTCTCTAATTCATGGCAGTGCAATTTGGTAAGTCCACTGAAGAGACAGTAGTACACTACGTTGTTTGTGCGGTTGTGTCTAGAAATGGGCAAATAGTTTGTAGCATATACCTTTTTCAATGAATTGAGCTGTTTTTAGTTGCTCTATGGGAATGCTACTAGGATTTTTTTTTTTAATAACTCTTCTTTTTTTAAAAAAAAAGAGTGAAAGATTTTACAAATGGCAAAGTGTTTGCACACCAGCTTGCTAACTGAGGTGGGTGACTAGCAGTTAGTTATGTGGGATTGTTGCTTGCTTCCAATCAAATACTCCATAACCAGGAAAGAGCAGAACAGCTTTAAGATATAAGTGGTTGGTGGCACATAAAGGTACCAGTTTTCCTGGGAACTCATGGTCAGGCAAGTATTTGGGAAGCTGGCAAATGTCATCTCTACCAGTGTGTAGCAAACAGGGATGGAATTTCAAGTAAAGATAAACGTGGGGGTTTTTTTTAGCAAAGTGAGTATTTGTAAGGTCTTCTCTGAGAGGCTTTATCTAGCTCTGAGCTTATCTGTGCTTACATCCAAGAGGAATTCCACCAAGACATCCGTGGCCAGTTCTCCGTCAAATTCAATCAACCGCTCCTCCTTAAAGACATAGAGACTTCCCTCTTCAACCAAGCCTGAAAGAAGGAGACAGGAAACATAATGTGGTCAACGAATCACTAAAAGCATTTTTACTACAGAGTATCTTGCTTGTTATTCTAACAACACCTCCTGGGAAAACGCAATTGCCAATTCACTGAGTTGGTCCAATTAGAAACAACCCGAGCAATCTCCTGACTGATGTTTCATGGCACGAGGGTCAGACCTCAGCCAGAACTTGTGCTAGCTTCTTCCCAAATGTTGAACTTCTTCATTCAGGTCACAGTTTGGCCTCACTTGGAAAAATTCTGTACCAGGAACTTGTTTTAGCTTGGCTATCTGTGTTGCAGTAAATAGTTCTGGGCTCTAACTGACATCCCAAATTTGAACAACCTGACACTAGGTGGAAAATGGATTTTGATGTGGGCTGTGCTCTCTGCCCGGAGAAGGCTGAACTATGTGAACATAAACAGTCAGCTGGAAGCCAAAGCGAGCTTCAAACTCTCTGCAGCTTAGCTAGCCTTGGCAAAAGGGTTAGAAACCCTTAGAATCCCTATGGTAGGGATGCCACAGATGGCAGGCTGGCATATTTGAATGGTATATCACTGGATCGAGGACTCGGTGCCACAGCGTCTCGGTGGAGGCTCCAAAATCAGCAGCACTAAGGTCCTGAAATGCATGATGACAGGGTACCACAGGTCAAGGTGGTTGGTAGTTTGTTCCTTCTTGGAGAGGCAGAAGCTCTCAGCTTTAGTTTAGCTTCCACCAGCACACTTAGCCTTTAATTTAGGAAAGAAAATTAGAGTCCAGCATGTAGCCCAGCATGCTTAAACAGTCTGACCTTAAGTCTAGTGGTATATTTATGTGCTGTTGTATTTATGGGCTATAGTATTTCCATATTCCTTTGTGGGCTAAAATATGAAGGAATCGCCAGTCCCTGGAAGGCAGCTGTTTCCAGGGGTGGGCAATGCAGCAGCCTTTCACCTTTACAGTAGGTTTCCTCTTCTGCTCTGGGGATCAAGTCAGGAAGGGTTGGCACCTGGCTGCCAAACCACTGCAAGGCTGTGGCTCCCCCATTAGTGGCTGAGGGTCACTCTGCCATGGGGCTGGTGACCTTGGGGGGCCTATGTGATGTTGCTGTAGGTTTTGGTTCTGCACCACCGCGTCAGACCTGTCTCTGTGCAGGAAGAACACGGAGTTACTCCATGCCACCTATTTACAGTTTCTGCTCAGCAAGCTGTGAGCTTTCACCCTGTCATCACTATGGCATGAATTGGCTTTCTTTTTCACTTGGTTTGATTTTATTTTTGCTCTCTCATCCAGGAAGCTTTTTGCTGGAAGGGTATCAGCTCACTCCTCTCATCCTCACCTCCCAGCTTGATCCTGCCCATGTTGGAGTGGGCAGCTGGTCAGTATGCAATTGCCACCATCACCCTTCTCATCCTAGTGACAAGGATTTGGCTGTTCTCTCCAGGGCTGCCTGTTGACCATCAGTCCCACACTCTCTCCAGGCTGTTCCAGAGATATCAGACATGGGACTCACCTAGCTTTTTGGCAAGTTTGGCATCCTTCTTGGAGTCCACCATCCCAAAGCCGATGCTCCTGGGCTCCAGGACCTGAGCCGCCAGCTGTGGGAGGAACCAGAGAGCCCAACATTAGCGGCATTAACACCACAGGGTAGCTAAAGGGCATCATGCCTTGCTAGCACGGCACGACAGACACCAGTGACCCATATTCTACTTTCAGGCAGCACCAATGGGTGGGATGCATCACATGCTGCCTCCCCGCTGAGATAACACTGCCCGGAGGTCACAAGGGTTGGATTTCTTCCCACTGTGTCGCAGCACCGAGTTTGCTGGTGATGCCACGTGCTGCTACCTGCTGTTTGACACTTGGGCATCAGGAGAGGGCTCCCGGCCGAACTGGGGACACCAAAGAAATGGGCATGGCTGGGAGAAAGACCTGTGCCACTGACACAAAGCAAAAGCTGTATCCTTCCTCATGCCTCAGTGGCCTCCTAGGGGCGAGCATGATGTGTGGACACCGCGGATATTTTAACTCTGGAAGTACTTGGTGCCAGGCAGCAGTGGCTGCAAACTGGAGGGGATGCAGGGCACTGCAGCATCGTGTTTCCTTTGTACATGTGATGGGATGGCCAAAGCAGGCTCCCAGCAAAATAAGGTAGAGGAACTCCTGGCTTTGCAATAGCGGTCCCTTCTCCTATGAAATGCTTTAAGTCATGTCTCCTGTCCAGGCTTCAGTCACGCCCCAGTTCCTGGTCCCCTCTTTTTCCTACAGAAATGAGTCTAACCCCAGCCACGCTCATGCTTGCGTCCTCACAGCTTTGGAAACCACTGCCCCCTGTTCCCACCATTTTTGATGAAGGGGCCTCTTGAAGATATCGAGTTCCTGCCTGTTTTGTGAAAATAGATATGTGAGGAAAGGAGAGACGCTCTGCAAGTGCCTCATGGTGGAAGCTGCCCGGGGTGAGACCCTGTGAATTCCAGATGGGCTCTGTAGAGATGCAGTGATCCTGGGAAATGAGTCTGCTTACTCACCAGATGACTGAGTGAGCCCACCACAAGCACACCAGAGACCCTACGAGGTGGTAGGATGCGCTGAGACCACCAAGCAGCTGTAAGAGCCCCCTCTTCCTCCCTCTCCCTCCCTGCTCCACAAATGCCTCCGATGCTGACGGTCTTCTTGCTGTCCCCCCTCCCAACCCTGCCAGAAGGGGGGGTGATGGGGACAACGGGTCAGGGGCCTCTGGGACAGGAATGTCCCTATTAGGGCACAGTTGCTTGCACTTGGCGGTGGGAGGCTGGAGGGGGGCAGAAGAAAAGCCACGGCCAGAGGGATGGCGGGCTGATTTATGAGGAACGTCCTCCCCCAGGACCCATTTTGGCCCCCCCCCCCCCGGCCTCAAAGCCGGTTTGAATGTCACCCAGCAGCACTGCCCCCACGGCCGCACGTCCCCTTGGCTCCCCGCTATAAATAACCTCCGCCTGTGCCCGGCTGCTGCAAGAGCAAGTGGTGATTAAAGGCATCAGGGAGCAAAAGCAGTGGGGCAGCCCCCTCGCCTGTGCCCCGGGGTGTCACAGGGCCAGCCAGCTCCCCATGCTGGCAGTGCCCAGCCCTTCCCCAAAATCCTGGGGGAGACTGCAGCCACCCTGGGGATCAGGGTTCAGGGACCTTGCTTGGGCAAAGGAGAGTGTTGGAGAACATGATTGTCTTCTCCCTTCCACCAAAGACACGTCCCCAGGCCTGTCCTGAAGCCCTCCAGAAGGATGTATTCTCCACTAATCATCACTGCATCACTGCAACCTTGATCCCCCTGCGGCTACTGGCCTGTTGTCTTTAGGGAGAAATACTGCCATGCGAGGCAAAAGGGGTGCTCAGCGTTATGCAGAAAACACACAGTCTCACTGCTCTTTCCTTGCTCTCTGCCAGTGCTTTGAAATAAAGATGAGGCTGCAGATTTAGGGCTAGTGCTTACAAGGGATACCACCTGAATGGGGAAGAGCACTGGGCCGTATTTGCACAACCATTGAAAAGGCATCTGAGCAGTGGTCTGAGTCATCTGGCATCTCATCTCCCGGCTCAGGCCACGGCCATCCACGTTAGAGCACCTGAGAGCAGCTGATACCCAATAACACAGGGAGAGATGGACACCTCTTGTGGGCTCCCTAGACATCTGCAAGCGGGCAGTGGTGGAAGAAGCTGTTTTCTGTTCCCCATTACAGGGATCTGCCTTTACTGGACAAAGGATGGAGCCTGTAGGGCCATCAGCTTTAGGGGACGTTGTCAGCAAGTCCCCACTTGTTGGCAGTTGTGTAGACCAGCAAGAGGTTCCTCAGAGTCAACACTTGAGGCTCTGGCTGCACTGTGACCAGAGGTAAAACACAGAAAGCCCAAGGGAAGAAGACTGTCCAGTCACACCCAGTCCATACTTGATCTAGCTACTTACTTACTTACAGATATGTTAGCCATGTGCCAGACGAAGTCAAGGCAGTTTAAGCCCAATAGTTCTTAACTCCTGCACACAGGAGATGGTTAGGGTTTCTTGGGGGTGTTTGAAGAAGCTCAGAAATGTGCCTTCATCCTGTGAGGTTGCAACACCTGCTACAGACTAGTAGCTGGGTGTGAGCGGGGACGTTTGCGAGAGAGGAGGCGTTGATCAGGAGTAACGTATGTGAGCATGCAGCATATGCAAGGTAGCTCTTTGGAGGAGTGTGGGTGCAGTCGTGTAGCTGTGAGCATGGGAGCTTGCTGGGAAAGAGCAAACATGCCTAGAAAATGTGGGTGATGGGATGAAAGCCTCTTTGTGTGAGGTTGTGGGAGTGTGCACTTTGTTAGGGCTCAGGAGGCAAAAAAGGTCACAGTAATGCTGGAGGTGTGCCTGTTGGTGTGGCAGGGCTTGTGTGGCTGTGTCTCGCAAGACTGTCTCTAGTAGGAGCATGTACCGTGGGTACAAGTGTTTGGAGATGTTCCTCTGGAGAGGCTTGTCCCAAGAGAAGATGTGCAACAGTGCATGTATATAGCAGAGCGTGTGTGTACAGCGTGTGTGTGTGTGTCTGTGGGGACGGAGCTGAGACCTATGCGGGCAGCCTGCCTCCTTCACTGGGACTGTCACACTAATGAGGTAATGAGGTGAGCGTTGCAACCTGTGCCCATCTGCAGAGCACTGGGGTCCTGCACCAGGGGAATCTTCATGCAACACGAGACTCTTGGGAGCTCTTTCCACTGTGGCAGTGCCCGGAGGCAGGAGACCTTTGCAGGCTGTCAGTACCTATGGTGGCCTTTTCAAGTGCCAGCTATGCAGGGGTTGGACATTGCTCCTGCCCTTGCTTTCCCTGCTTTTCACTGAAGCAGTTGAGTCTGACCAGTGCTTAGGTGAGGACGTATTCCCACACCTATATTTGAATCCCATAAGGCAGCAAATATAGAGTATGCCAGCAGCACAGCAGCTTGGCTAGTTGCCCCCTGCTCATTACAGTATCAAGCATTTATATATCCCCTTACAGTATTTTCTGATTCCATAATGCTAGTGGGATTTGAATGCAGATAATGTTTCTAATCTTCACAATCCTCTTGGCTCGGGACCTTGGGACAGAGGCAGCTGTAATGGAAGAACACAGCCGCTCCTCCTCCCCCTCCTCCTCCTCCTCCTCCTCCTTTTAAATTCATATCGCTTGAAGTCTTGGCCAGCCAGAGCCCTTGTCTTCGTGTCAGCCTCTATAGCGAGTAATTTAGCTTCAACAGCTGCACGGGGAGATGGAGGGGAGAAATTGCCCTGGAAGAACTGGACCTAGCTGGTCATGCAGTCCCTGAGGTACAGCAGGAGCTCTGGACAGGCAGAGCTGGCTTAGACTGTGAGCAAAGACCACCGTCGCTTATAAGCTCAAATCCCACACATAGTTTGCCATCTTCCTCTCATGTGCTTGAAGCCTTTGCAATGCACACTTTCTAGCCACAGGATCACAAGCTGTGTCCTGTGCAACCTTGGGAAAACGAGGTGCAAATTTGGGAGCACTCCTCCTTTTTCCCACTTCCCTCAGCTAATAGCCATGCTTGGATTTGGGTAAGCGTGAGGGAGTGCATGGCTCTCTGGGATGTGTGAGAGGTGCCAGCCCAAAGTGAAGCTTGAGTACCACCAAGTAAGCAAGCACCACCTCATCTTGGATGGTGTCAACAGTCACAAGCAATCTGAATAATGGGGATGGAAAGAAACAACTCCCTGCCAGAACATCTCCGTTTCACACCTACCATACCCATCTGAACTTAGGTGTGATGCTGGGAGGCTTTCAGGAGATTTAAGAAGTACCACAGGGTCGTTCTGCAATCCTAGGCTATAGAGCAGCAGAAGTGTCACCAGTATAAAGGCGATAGCCCAGCCACGATCCTATTCCAGCTGCGAATAACAGTGATTGTGCTGAACCTTGCATTTGGTGTCAGTTTTGCTGCTAAATGGCAGACAAAATCCAGCAGAGTGGGTTACAGATGTGGGGTGGGAGGGGTGCATGGTCAGTTTTTCATTGTGAGGTGACATTATGGCTTTGTGGCCTGGATTTTCTTCGCCCTTCTCTAACACCTGCCTGGAGCTCCCACAGACAGTAAGGCTCATCTTCCCCAGCCGCTCAGGCTGGGAGGCAGGGACTGGGGACATTTGGGTCTCTATGAGAGACGTCATGAGTAAACTTCTCTTAAGCATGGGGAGTTTTCTGTTTCCCTAGCTGCCAGTGGTGGAAGAACAAAACTCAAGCAATGCAAGGAGGAGAGCAACAAGAGATGATGAGGGAACATCCCTCAAGCAATCTACGCTTCTCTGCTGTTTCTCTCCTACTCTCTTTAAAGTTGCAGTTTACGTTGATGGTCAGAACCTGGTTGATGTAATGATGATGATCTTACATCCCAAAATGTTAGGTTTTTATTTTCAGAAACAGCAAGAGGAGATGGCAAAAGTCTAAGGTATTCCCCAAAAGCTTTGAATCCTTATGCAGGACTCCTGCCTTCATTCTATATCTGGCTTCTCTGTTGTTCGAGCTGGTGGGCAGTTTGTTTGGGAGCAGAGGGGATAGTTCACCTTCCTAATGCTGTGCTGTCTCCTCTAGCATCCCCTTGCATACCC